AACTAACAACAATTAACAATGGAAATACCCAAAAAATAGTTTTGTGTTAGACGACTCTGACACATTGTTTTGATGCCACTATGACCTTTGTTTGTCATGTTTTTTACGTTTGATTTCACACTTAGCATGGGATATCATAGTGAACTGAAAAGGGTATATTCTTACTACTTATACTGGTTTTGCCACCTGCTTTTTTATCAGTCTCTTCAAAACAGAGATTGTCCTCCACGAAAGAATCTGAGAGTACCTTAACATATACTACTGGTACTATAGCTAATGTATTCAAAATTAATATGCACATACATACGTTCAAACTCTAGACAGATACAGTCAGCATGAACAATCTGTCAGCAAATATGCAAATTAGTTGATGCTTGATCTAGCTAGTAAGAGGAACATGTTGTATATAACAATGGATAGAAATGTGTAATCTGAATTCCTAATCTATATATTACCAGTATAATCATAATAATAGTTCAATAAACACTTTGCATGCTGTGTCAGGTGATATTCTACATTTGAAAACATTTGATGAGACTCCAATATGGCCGCCAATATCTAGGCAATAATACTCAATATACCTACTGTAAAATACTTTATTTTTGCTTAGAATTTAATTTAGCTATTTTCGCCGAAGAGATGACTAAATGAATATACCTTTTTTCCTATATTTTACATTCACCTCAATAAAAATCAGTGCAAATAAACTCCATACAAAACACCCAAATATTTTTTCAGTGAAAACTAATTCAAGCTAAAATATTTTAAAGTTCCATGCAAAGTTCAGTGGTATTACAAATATTATCACTTACTGTGAAATTTGGCTTTTGTTGCAATGTTCCCTTTGTAGTAACCAATTTTCTTGACATCCACAATTGCAGCTAATACAAAAAACACAAGTTCATTGACTGTATAAGCCACTGTAAGCGTCGACATAACGTAAAAAGAAATATGATGTCGCACTTGTTCTGCGTTCACACTCAACGAAATAACAGTGTTGTTTGCTGTCGTTGTTATTATATGACATGTGTTTCTATTAATAAAACAACTTACTGGCAATGTTATCACTGTAAATTGCAAGCCGTGTTGATCAATGAGTGACATTTGCATGAATTTGCATGCTTTACAACCCGATAATACTGGATAAGTTGAATAAAAATTTCAGAATTAAACAACCTGCAAACGCTCAAATAAAATAAATTTGGTGTTCCTGGTAACCCGTACTTGCCCATTTGAAGAAATGTAAAAATTTATTTTATGCAAATGATCTCTAAAATTATTTAGTTCTATGCAAATTAGTTATGGTCATTTTACCAATTTTGCAATTCTTTCCATGTGTTGAATGATTAGCACTTTAATAGTTGTATCATGAAAATATATGATATTTGCACATCTGCAGATAGACTAACAAGCAAATGTATCACTGAGAAAATTCGTAAAAAGAATTTGAAAGGTTTTAAAATGAATGTGGAAAGTCTTAAAATGAAAGTGAGAAGTCTTTAAAATTTATGTTGAAAGTTTTAAAATGAATGTAGAAAATCTTAAAATGTCTGTGGGATGTCTTAACATTTATTTGGAAAGTTATGAATATACAAGTCTCAAAATAAATGCAGATAGTCCTAAAATGTATGTGAAAATCCTTAAAATGTGTATTAATGTAAGCCAAAACTCACCATAGATAGTTGGTAAAGCACCAGGTGTACACACCATACCTCTCTCTAACAATTTGGGGTCAAACTGTGTCACACACAGGCCAGCCCTGTCTCCTTGCATTATGCTGTTCACTGGCTTTCGAAACATCTGAATAGACTTCACTTTTTTGGACATTTTTAATGCTGGGATTTCAATATTCTATAAATACAGAAATGATTGATATTTAACATAAATAATAGTGAGAGTTATATGAATACTGACAACATTATACATGCGTGTTTGTTTCATGTGCATATAATTATGATTTAATTATTATACGTTACTAAACTGTGCTGATGAATATAAGCCAAAAGTTTATTTTGTATGCAACTATATCAATTTCATTTCATCTAAGCAGCAGTTTAAACTCTATATTCATTTCCAATGATAACATAAGCCAAGCTTTTAATTTGACTACAGTTCAGAAATACTTCAAAATCAGCACTGCTTGACACTGTAACTGAATAGCTACTTCAGTTACAGTGTTATGAATAAATTTCCTGTATATAAGAATATGTACGTAACTATCAATAAAAAACAGTGAATCATTTCAATTTTGTGAGAGAACTTTTCAAAAAATTCATGAGTCAGTAAAAAACGTAAAATCTTTTCAGCAATGAAATTATCTTTCCAGTTCTACAAAATTTTGACTTTACAAATCCCATAAAATCTTAAAATCACCAACATTTTTAGCAGTGAAAATTAAATTACAGTATTATGCTTACATCATTCACTGAAACACTACCACTGAGTACAGTGCCAGTCATTACTGTGCCTTGGCCTCTGATAGAAAAGCAGTGATCTACAGCATAAATAAAGGCACCAGAAGAACTTCTTTTCGGTAAGTATGCTTGCTTCTTTAATTCCTGTGAAAAAGAAAATACTTCATTGTAACTTTTCAATATAACTTTGTAACTGGTATATAATGAAGGTCGGCAAAAAAGAGTTTTCATGAGCTGTAATCAATTTTTTTTTGTTTTCATAAAAATGTAAATTAAATAAATAAAAAACGTAAATTCGTAAACATGGGAAAGGTGTAAAATGTAATCAGCTATTTTATTTGTCCGTAATTTATAAAACGATCTTATTTTTTGTAAGCGTATAAAGCATTTTCCAAATTTAATGACGTAATTCATACGCAATTTCCAATTTTGATTCTTAAACACAAGTGTAAAAACCCATTTTTTACTGTAAATGGAACTTTCATTTTATTTCCTGTAACCTGTACCAGCCATCCCCCCTTGTCCTTCCTCTATAATGTATTTGCAAAAAGGTCAGGAACATTTCAAAGTGTTGCCAGTGAGGGCGCAATATACAGAAACAGACAATACATGGTGAACTGTTGAGTACCTCTATTAAAATGTCAACACCTTCAGCTTCTGTATCAGGAGCCTCAGGCCCACCAGGTTTAGCAGCAACCGATATCATTGGACAGCCAGCAAACCGTGTGTTTTCCAATGTCTTTGCCATCCTTTTCTTCATCTATAGAGAGCAGAAATACAGATAATTTAATCAAACTAATTGAAAATGAGATGAATCTCAAATAAAATCCAAATCAATCAAAACCAAGATTGGCAGATTTAACTGGAAAATTTAAAAAATAAAATAAAAATAAAATGCAAGTGACAGTATTCAAGACATCCATTACGTAATTTTCAGCTCAAATGTCAATATTTGTAAACAATTCATGCAGATCAACACTGATGAACAGTAAATATTAAGTTTTCATGATGAATTTGTCCCAGGAAATTTACCTGGATGTTTCCTTTAAATCATACATAATTAAAGTATAGAATGAATAGATTTCTAAGCAAGACACAAGTTGTACTTCCTGGCACTGAGCCAGACATTATCATTTCCTACCTTTTCAATCTGTTGTTGTTTTTTGGCAGGTTGTAATAAATCAATTTTATTCAAGACGACTATCATTTTTTCACATATTATTTCTCCTATGACGAGACACTGCAAAGAATCAGACAACGAAACCTCAGTTTCAGTTCATGGATGCAAAGTGATGCACAAATTGATATATTCTTCAAGTAATTATAATAGATTACCTTTAAAGAATAGTAGTTGTCGTGAATGTGTGTGTTCCAATTTTATGTAAATAAATATATATACACATACATGTTGCTATATGTTGCTACATGTTGTATGGGACTCAAATCAAATATATGCAGTTGTGGTATCCACCATCCTTTAAAGTAGAACGTACCTCAGCCGTCTGTGTCTGCACTCCTTTGGTGACATCTACGACTAACATCATTAAATCTATTATTTGAACTCCTAGAATAAAATCAGCAAATGTAATAATGTTAGTGAGGCTAGGCAGACATGCACTGCAACACACTTTAGAAGATCAAGATGTGTTCGGAAATCTTAAAGTAAAGACAGGATATCTACTTTTAATATATCAAATTTTTTTTAGTTAAAACAGCATAATTTTTACATTTTCTGTTTTTAGTTACTGTAAAATGACTACCTGTAATTTTCACTGGGTTTAAATTTCGCTGATTCAGCATTTCAGGCATATTCAGTGAGTTTTAAATTCATGGTTTTATCATTTAGATAATGTGTTCTATGATCAATTTTACATATTCACTGGGTTTTAATTTAGCGCATTTTCCAGTCAGTGAAATAGGAAAAATTAAAACCCAGTGAATAATTAACCCTTTTACAGTAGTTGTTGTAGTGATGTTTCACATATTTACCAAGTGTGAAAGCAACTTTAAAATAGCAAGGATTACAATTATCCAAGAAATGTGGAATGAGAAAATGTTGAATCATATGCAAATTACTTGATCTATAGACACACAAACTACTATGAAACCTAGTGAAAATACCTCCAATAATGGTTCTTATAAGGGAAGCATGTCCAGGACAATCTACCAAAGCAAACTGTAATCTTTCATATTTAGCACTCTTCAGATGATCTGGAATATCCGTCATAAATGTGGAAAAACCTGATAGATAAATAAACAATTATTGCTATACATGTGAAGAATGTAGTAGGAATGTTTTTTGACCTACACACACCAATTTCACTATTCTCAGGGGCGGAGATCTGGGCATTTTCACCGCTTCACAAATATCACGGTGAATACAAAGGTCGAAAACTTTCAGAAAACGGTATTTTGGGATTGTTGTTGAGACTCCTATGAACAGTGTAACAAGATTACCCCTGTCTTTGCAACATATATAAATTTGGCTGTTCAGGATTACTTCAAATTTTAGTTTGTGCTGTTTTAGCTATTTTCATCGGCTCTATGACAAGCGTTTCAAAGCAGCTCGCACAGAGCCCATAGAAATAGAAACATTAATGCACGTCTTAGCAATGTGGAACGTCTTGTGACATAACTCCGCCCGAGGATACTAGAATAGTATTGGTCCAATATGTTCTGAATATCAATAAGGTCTACATTTATATTAGACTGACACTGGCTGGTTTATTACAGGTTATGTTCCAGTATCGCAACGCAGCAGAAACAATGCCATCCAATATAGAGCATGTATGTCAAAAATTACCCAGAATGCCAAGTATAAATGATGGATGTTTTGATTTTGTTTGGTGATCATGATGAGCCATCCAGGAGACTGAATAAAGCTGTGACTGGGTTAAATTAAAAAAGATTCCTTCAGAATGGTTCACTACTGGAGACACGTACAGACTGTAACCTAATTATAATGCACACCATGCATGTCTACTTATAACAAACCCAATGTATTATATGCTTCATGATAGTGAACACTTCACTATAACAAACTAATTATATATCCCCAAAGGATTTGCTATAAATACTATGGTTCTGTTTTGAAGTATGATCATTTTGGTCCAGTGCTTTAGCTTAGACCATAACAGAGAGGCCCAATTATGGAAGAATTACATGTATAGTTCTGATAGAATCAGGACCCTAACCTCACCAGACTAGACACTGGTGTAAAAAATCAGCAAGATATGTTATTTGATCCTGGTCTTGAGAAAAATAAATCACATTCTTCACATTTTTTTTCAAAAATTATATTTTAATTTTGTATACTTACCTAAATCCAGCGTGATACCTCTTTCTTTACTTTGGGGATTCTTATCAAATGATGCAGTCAGAGCCATCTCACTCAAAGCTTTAGCTAAATTGACATTATAAGAAAATAAATAAGATTACAATTATGTAATTGTTAATATAAAAAGTAAACAAACCATCAAATTATTAAAACACCAAAACATAACGCCCATAAATTATTTTTTGCATTCAGATTAAAGGGGTTACCGGAATAAAAAACATGATCTGGAATCTTAATTCAGCTAAAATATCAACAATCTTAAATTCTAAATCGTATTATATTGTCTTGTGAATTAGCTAGTGAAGTTACAGGGTAGATAAATATTATTGATTATTTCATATGATTCATCCAGTATATATTAATGCAAAATGTATAGTCATTAATAATAAAACAGAATTCTACGATCATATTACTGTAAAATGACTAATTTTCACTGGGTTTAAATTTCACTGATTTACCATTTCAGGCATATTCAGTAGGTTTTAAATTCACGGTTTCGTCATTTAGATAATGTGTTCTATGCTAAATTTTACATATTCACTGTGTTTTAATTTAGCGCATTTTTCCAGTCAGCGAAATAAGCTAAATTAAAACCCAGTGAATAATTACCCCCTTTACAGTATACCGTATTAGACAGAGCCCTCTACATATTTGCTCAGTACATATATTTCAAAGTAGAGTGGGATTTAGATTTGTTAATGAAAATAATTAGAAACATTTAACCACTGAATAGAGCTTAATTATTAACTGGGTTTTATGCATGAATAAAGTCCTGGTACGAGGACTTTTCTGAGGGTATAAAGTCTGACCTGAGATAAAACAGCAAGCCCATAGCCTGAAACATTCTTTAGTGAGGACTTTAAAACTAGAAGAGACTGAGGTCATTATCTGACTAAAAACCCTGCCCCAAAACATTCTACAAATATATACTTAAGACATTTAGTGATTCCTGTCAAGATTTCTGCGTGGAATTTATACTGGGAAAGGTAAACATGCACCTATTTTTAAATGATATCTTCTATAAAAATTGTGACACTTAGAGAGACTGTACAAGTGAGATCTGTATTTTTTGAGTATTCATTACCAAACTTGAAGCTACATACATGTACTGTATAGCCTAAATACAGACATAGTGTTGCACAATGGTACAGTGTATGCCACATCACCCATTTTGATTCATTTTTAGCTCAGTAAAACTTGGTCAGTGCTTCATATTTCATGTCATGGGATATAGACATTAATAAACGTAAAAGTCCAAGTACAATTTATGAGAACAAAGGCATCTTAGGACAATTTCTGAAATCAAAAAGATTTGACTTGAGAAAATAAATCAAAATCAATTTGGAAAGAAACATTCAGTGTACATTTATATCCTGCCATGGAGCATTCTGATTGGTCGATATGCACTACTGTTTGCTTACTATATTTTTGCTAAAAGCTAAATTAAACCCCATTGAAATTTAACAATTTAATTCCTTCACAAACCAGAAAATTTAAAACATAGTGAATATTGACTAAAATGAAATGCAACCAATATTTATTCTTCTGTAGTATTTGATGTACTCAGTCGGTATTGTTTTTTCATTTTCATTTCATTGCAGTCAGTCAATGGAAACTGTATTGTTATTGTTGCAATAAATGTATTAATACTGTTATTCAAATATTCAAATTTTTTTTTGTTAAACACATGTTGACAAAACTGTGCACTTAAATATTAATAATTATATGTTTAACAATAATATAATGCTTACCTAAAGAAGTTTTACCACTGTCAATATGACCTAAGACGCCAATATTGAAGTTAAGATTATGTGCGCCGCCTCCACTGCCTGACGCCATTGCTACTGTATCGTTTTGGTCAATGCCCGACGTTAAATAACCAAACCAGATTACGTTTTACATTAATAAAGTGAGACGTTCAATTCAAAGCTGGTCAGTTCTCACAACAACGATTTCACAACATCATCAATACCACGCGTGAAACTAAATACTTCCGGTTTGTTGAGGAAATGTACAACAAACAATGACACGATGTCATTAAAGGCACACGTGGACTAATACAGTAAATTGAAAATGCTTGGCAAGATTTATTTCATTCCTAATTGTTTTCCTTTACTACTATTAAGAATACGTGCAAACTAAAAACTCTCAAGATCCATTATATAGAAATATAGGTGTATTAAACAATTGCCCTATTTG